CATACTAAGAACTTCCAGAAGAATGAACACATTTGTTCTGGAATAAGTATAGGCAAAGTTCCCCTAAGACGTGAGGATGGCAATACTTTGATACCTGGGCCATGTTATGAGAAGAGGCTAGTCCTGAAGAAAAGTATCTCCTATTATTTTATTCCCTCTTCCTTTCTCTCCATATTATATACCTGTTTTTCAGTACCTTCCCCTATCTTAATTAATCTACCTATCTCATTTCAAAATTGAAAAAGATCTGACAGATTTAAGTTTCAAATGAACTTCCCACGGAGTGCACACTATTCTACATTAACTAGGCACAAAGAAAGCTTTTACTCCCACTAAAGAAATGTCAGACATAAGAGAGACTGTTGAATTGATGCCTACTTTAGTTGTTGGGGGTGGGAAGGAGATGAAACAGATCAGATAGTATAGCACCAGCCTTTTTCTTCTGAGTCCATGTGTCTCTGACACTTCACTCCTAACTACCTTCAGTTGCAGCTGCTTCTACCATCGGTTTGCATGACATTTACTTGGCACAGTGATGGCATTGTCTTGATGCCTGCCATAGTCTGAGATTGGAGCCCAGTTTCCAGTGTGGTGGTACACAAACAACTAACCTGCTCCTTGCCCCTCCCACCTATTTTGCAAGTGTCTCAACACTCCCATATGCTGGGAATCCAGGGCCCATGTTTCCTGATCTTGCTCTTCATTTCAGAGCCATCATTTTCAGCTGAGTCCTCCTCTGTCTCCAACAGTGATGTAGTCAGCCAACTATCTACTTGCCCCTGACAGGCAATCTGAGAAGGATGGGCATTTGTTTACATGCCCAATCCTAAATAATGGTGCAAGTGACACACAAAGTCCGCAGTTGTCAATTAAGCATTTTAATGTTTTGAGTCAAACATTAGCCCCTATATAATCTATTTATCTCTTTTCCTAGTAGAATTAAGCTGCTCTTATCTGCCTTTTATAAGCCTTATTTTGAATGGTGATCACTTAAGTGAAAACAAGAAACCATCTTCTCACACATAATAATCTGAAATCTCAAAGCAGAACTCTCTTATCTATTGACACGGAAATGCAGGGAAAGCAAAAAAAGAATTGAAAAATTTCCCTGAAAACAAATTTCCCAGTTTCATTTTACTCAGTAATATGCTTTAAATGAAATTATTCCAGGGTGTAAAGTATTAAGTAAAGCATAAAAGCAGTTTGAAGCAGGAAAATAAGACCAAGCTGAGATCTCCAATTTGCATGTGGTACTATGCAATTATTTTTTATGACCTACTTTCATACATTTTTAATATGAGATGAAATAAACTCTGCTGTCATAACTTCCCATTCTTCCTACAATCTTAAAGCGTAGCTGGTGGACTTCCAAAAAAAGAGCTCTGTTCTAATCAAGTAGCTGAGCATCTCATTTTCCACTTCACAGACTCCACGAAGAAACCACAGCACAGCCAGCTTCCCTCCCATATCTTTCCCCCCAAGCAGTTACTTATGCAGCTAATTTGTATTGCGGAACTACTATGTGCCAAGCTCCACCAATACACCACCATTGCTCTTCATTTAGTCATGTAAGAATGCTCCTATTATCTTTTAACTCTTATTTAAACCTCTTGATTCAGGTTTGTTTTGTTTTTTTTTAATTCCATGATAACTAAGAAATCATAGTTGTTATAGTTTAGCAGGAATTATGATGCTCTATTCACTAATAACATCGAGGACTCTCCTTCATAGGGTTGCTATGAGTTGCCTGTGACTTGACGGCACTTAACAACAACAACAATTCACTGATATTTTTAGGAAGGCAAAAGATCTGTCCCTAGACCCACTACATAGGATTCTGATTGTCTGAACGTGAGACAAAGAAGTGAAGAACTCTACAGGTGAGGATCAAGCATGTAACAAGCATTGGGGGTTGCTTTGCTGTATGTATAGTCTTCAGGGCTCTGACCTAAGAACCTGTCACACAGAGTTCACAAGGAGTCTATGGTGTTCCAAACAAAAAGAATTCTCTCCTGCTTGGTTTTTTTAAAATGAGACATATTTCATCTCTAAATGTTTATATGTGAATGTTTATATATTAGGAAGATCTTGTAGCCTAGTAGATAAGGAGTTGTGCTGCCACCCAAAGGTAGGTGGTCCAAACCCACCAGCTGCTCTGTGGAAGAAAGATGGGCCGTCTCCTTCCATGTCATTTACAGCCTCTGAAAACCCACTGGATAGTCAGCTGTGAACCAATACCGGCTCAAAGGCACATGACAACAACAGCGTTAGTATATTTGGTGACATACCATTCCCATTGGTTTATCCATATTCTTTTGCAAATAATTCTCTAAAACCTTTGGATTCAGAAAAAGTGTCATTCCTTACCTCCTCTAAAATTTGACAAAATCACACAGTTCTCCTAAAATTTCTTTTTTTTAAACCTTTTTTAAATATAAAACTATAGAGAGTTAAGGGAACTCTGATGGCCTAGTGGCAAGAAGCTGTGCTGCCATCCCAAGGGCGTGTGGTTCAAATCCGCAAGCTGCTTCGCAGTAGGATGGACAATCTCCTTCCACATGTTTTAACTGCCTCTGAAAACCTGTTGGATGGTCAGCTATACGTAGGTTCTGACTTGAGAGTACACCACAACAACAATATAGACAGTTAAGGGGAACTCTGAGAAGCTGAACTATATGAAAAAGAGTATAGCATCAAGGTTGGAGGGAGACTCATCAATAACCTGGATTATGCAAATTATACCACCTTGCTTGCTGAAAGTGAGAAGAACTTGAAGCACTTCTTACAGAAGATCAAGGAATGTGGTCTTCAGTGTGGATTCCATCTCAATGTCAAGAAGACAGACTCTTACCACTGGATCAATAGGCAACACCATGGGTGGATTGAGAGGTGATTGAAATGATCAATAGCTTCATCTTGCTTGGATCCTTTGGTAGGAGCAGTCAGGAAGTAAGGAGATGCATTGCACTGGGGATATCTGCCATTAGGGGCCTTTCCAAAGAATTGAGGAGTAATGATGTCAGTTTGGGGACTAAGGTGCATCTGGTTCTGGCCATAGTCTTTCTGATCACTTGTTATGCATCTGAGAGCTGGACAGTGAATAAGGATGACAGAAGAATAATTTATGCCTTTGATCTGTAATATTGGAGAAGAGCACTGAACACCCCATAGATGGCCAAAAGAACAAATAGATATGTCTTGAACAGGGTACAGCTGGAGTGCTCTTTGGAGAAAAGAATGATGAGACTTTGCCTCACATACTTTGGACATATTGCTAGGAGGGGCTATCCCTTGGAAAGGGACATGATGCTGGGAAGGGTGGAAAGTTGGCAAAGAAGAGGAAGACCCTCAACCAGGTAGATTGACACTGTGACTGCAGCAATGGGATCTTGTGTGTCAGGAAGTGTGAGGATGGTGCAGGATAGAACAGGGTTCAGATCTTTTGTTCATAACGTCACTGTGAGTTGTATTAGCCTCAACAGCACCTAACAACAACAACAACTGATGGGCAAAAAAGAGTTGCACTGCCAATCCAAAGAGAGATGGCTAGAATCCACCAGCTGTTCTAAGGGAGAAAGATGGTAAATCTGCACAAATTACATCCTTAGGGGGAAAAAATTACATCCTTAGAAACTCAATGGAAGGCAGCTATGAGTTGGTCGCCACTTGACAGCAATGAGTGAGTGATACTAGAATCCACCAGCTGTTCTAAGGGAGAAAGATGGTAAATCTGCACAAATTACATCCTTAGGGGGAAAAAATACATCCTTAGAAACTCAGTGGAAGGCAGCTATGAGTTGGTCGCCACTTGACAGCAATGAGTGAGTGATACAGTCTTGCCTTGGGCACAAAACATAAAAATCCAACAGATCTTTGTCTTGGTTGTGAATCATGTTGTTGTTGTTGTTATGCACCATCGAGCCACCTGTGAATCATAATGACCTTATGTATAATGAACCCTGACCCCTGCCCTATCCTGAGCTAGTCTGACTCTGACATACCTAACCCCACTGTTTCAGTTACCATGTCAATCCAGGGTCTTCCTCTCCTATACTGTCCCTCTATCCTTCCAAGCATGATGTCCTTGGAGAAGGTCCCTTCTGGCCACAAATGGATGCTCTCAAATCAACCTCCAGCTCATGACAACCTCCTTGCACAATGGGATGAAATGCTACCAGGTCTGTGGCATCCCATAATCAGTTATGACTGGACCATTGTGATTCGCAAGGTTTTCAGTGACTGACTTTAACAAGCAGTCAAAATCTTTCTTGATCTCAGATCTTTACTCCTGGTCCATCTTAGTCTGGAAACTCATCTGAAACCCAGTCAACATCACAAGAACATGCAAACCACCACTGACGGAGGTGCCTATGAGGTGCACTGGCTGGGAATCTCAAACTATCACACAGAGAAGACACAAGTCCACCACAGCCTCTCACCACTCATCATGACTGTACAGAAAATATCTAATATACTTGCTGTTTACTTTTTAGATGCATTCATTAATGCATCTCTTTCAATGTTGCTGTTGTGTACCATGGAGTCGGAAATGACCCATAATTGACTCTCTACTGAGTTTTCAAAAGCAGTAAATCACATGGGAGAAGACTGTCCATCTTTCTCCTGCAGAGCTGATGGTGAATTTGAACTGAGTGCCTTTGGGATTACAGCACAGCTTCTTACCAATAGGCCACCAGAGCTCCCTCTTTGTAATAATTCTAGTTGGAAATTATAGGCAGCACCAAAAGGATTAACTTTGTGCTGAAAACTGAAGCTGTAACTTAACTAACAGCAGAATGTGAGGCAAAGTTACCCTGGCCCAGGAGACCGTGGTGAATCTGCAGGTGCCTGCAGTTACAGAACGAAACAGATCCGTAATGGTGGCCAGAGATAAAGCATTTCCCCTGGTACCTAAGATTCCCATTCATAACTTTGTGTTGCTGAAAAGGCCTGGACTTGCACAACCGTTTTTGTTTTTCTCTGCTATAAGATGTACTTACCCCAAAGAGTAGAGGCGACACTGCTTGCTTCGTATTTGACGAGCTAAGCCAAACTTGTCATCAAGACAGACCGACCAGGGCTTCTTCGCAGGACTGAAGCCGGTAGCCACACTGTCTGCACTCATGTGATCACATGCAATCTGAAAGGATTGGAAATCAATGTGAATAATTTAAAGTGCTGGATGATAAATGGCAAACAGAAACTTTCTGTTTCCCAGTCCCTGCAAACCGTAATGGCAGAGCTATAACCTTCTCCATTACTAACAACTCTCCTCCCCAGGGAGCACATACTATTGCTATAAAACATTCAGAGCAAGTTCAGATACCAAGTTGTCAGTGACCTATGAAAACCATGACCAGGATTGGAAGGAAGTTAAGAGCTGCTGACTTAGGAGCGATACATGCGGTTAATGTATTTGGCTGCTAATTTAAAGTTTGGCAGTCTGAGTCCATGCAGAGGCACCTAAAGAAAAAAAAGTCTGATGCTCTACTTCTGAAAATCAGCCATTAAAATCCTTACAGAAAACAGTTCTAGTCTGATATACATGGGGTCACTATGAGTCAGAATCAACTCATTAGTAAATTGACTGGGTTGTTACAGTTTTCTCTATAGTCATGTGCTATAATGATGGAACTTAGCAAAAGCAGAGAGTACCAGAGGAATATCTATCTGTATTTCATTAAGTATGCAAAGGCATTTGAGTGTATGAACCATAATAAATTGTGGCTAACCTTAAGAAGATTGGGAATCCCAGGACACCTGTTTGTACTCATGTGGAATCTATACTTGGATGAGGAAGCAGCCTCAGACAGAGCAAGGAAACACTTCATGGTTCAAAATCAGGAAAGGTTTACTCCAGGATCTATCCTATCTCCATACCTTTTCAATCTGTATGCAGAACAGATCATTCAGGAGGCTGGACTTTATGAGGCGGAATCTGGCATCAGGATGGGAGGAAGACTCATCAACAACCTACATTATGTATATAACACAACCTTACTTGCTGAAATTGAAGAGGACCTGAGGCATGTGCTGCAGAAGGCCAAGGACTGAAGTCTTCAATATGGATTGAGACTCAACATAAAAAAAAAAACACAAAGATTCTCTCCTTCAATATGGATTGAAACTCAACATAAAAAAAAACAAAGATTCTCGCTTCTGGGCCAATTTGCAGCATCGTGATAGATGAAGAGATTGAGATTGTTGACAATTACAACAGAGATTGAGGTTGTTGGTTCCATGTTCTTGGCACCAACAGTTAGGAAATCAAAAGATGAATTGCACTGGGAAAATATGGTTGTCAGGGATCTCTCTAGAGTTTGAAGAGCAACAATATCAGTCTAGAGACTAAGTTGCACTTGATCTAAGCCATGTTCTTTGCAATTATTTGCTATGCATCAGAGAGCTAGACAATGACTAAGGATGATAGATGATGAATCAAAGCTTTTGAGTTGTAGTGCCAGAGAGGAGTAACTGAACATACCCTAGACTGCCAAGAGAACAAACAAGTTTGTCTGGGAGAGGATGAAACCAAGCTTCCCTTTGGAAGAAGGAATTCTGAAGCTCTGTTTCACATACTTTGGGCCTATTGCCAAGAGGGATCAGTCCTTGGAGAAAGATATAATGCTTAGAAGGCTGGAGGAACAGTGCAGGAGAAGACGACCCTGGATAAGATGGATTGCCATTATGAGTGGAGTAATGAGGATAGATGTGTTTGAGACAATGAGATTAGCCCAAGATAGAGAACAATTCAGTTATAATAAATAGGGTCACTATGAGTTGCAGGTGACTCGAAGATACACAACAGTAATAGTCATGTGGACAGGGCATGAAAGAGAGAACAAATTAGGAGTAAAGATGGAAGGAGAGGAAGTGCCAGGAAGACTTTGTCTCTGTTCTTGGCAGAGACGGCATTTTAATGTCTTTTTTTTTCTATAATTATATTTTACTAATTTTCATAAACATTTACAGAGATTTTGGGCTTCCACTCATTCATTGTTGCATTATTCTCTCTACCCTCCTCCCAGTTTGTTCTTGTCCAAATGCCACAGTGCTTGTCAAAGCCAGTTCTGATTAATCTTCTTTGTCAGTGTGTCCTTTGCCACTCCCTATCACTCCTCCCTGAGAGAGACTTCACACTGAGTCATAAGGAAAAGGGGATGGCGTATTCTCTTAGCTACTTCCTGCTGAAAAGGGATGCTGTGGGTTTCAGGGTGAAGATCTTCTCTCACTACTCTAAAGGGCCCCTTTGGCAGTAGGAAACACATAGACTATTATGGAGATTGATTTTGGAATTTAGATGCACTCTTATTGATTGTGCTTGGCTGTACATGTTCATATCCTTGAAGATGTATCATGGGGGTGTTGCAACCTAGAAGACACAAATTTGACTAACAAGTTATAAGTACATGAGTCCAAAAATTATGGAAAAGTAAAAGAAAAGATTCTTTCATTGTTTTACAAACCCTCCCCCAGGTCCCCTCCACCATGTAGCCCTCGCTCTAGTCTCCTGTGATGACAGAAATACCCAGTTATATCTCTCTTTTAAACGGTTCTCTCCCTCCTCTGTTTCAGTGCAGTATACATTATTGAACCCATCTTACTCAGTCTCATTTTAATGTCTTTTGATCACTGACTAGCTGTTTACCTGGGGTAAGACATCCCCTTCTCAACTTTAGTGATCTCAACTTATCAGCCTAAGTGATAGACAGTTTTGTGTCACGAAATGTTGTGGTGTTAGCCTAAAAGTTGGCTTTTTTAAACCATTAGTTATCCCCTCTGGTCTCCAACTACCTTAACTGCAGACACATGGTCTTAGAAATCATCATGGTCTTGTTAATCATCAACAGCTGAAGCAGCAATATAAAGAGTGCTTTTCCTACTGGACAACAGGACTCAGAGCAGCCACACTTGAAGCAAGGAAGATCCTCATGGTGGAGAGAACGCCATTGTTGTGGAGAAACTGTGGCAAGCTGTGACCTAAGGCTTCTTGCATTTGTGCTGGCCACAGTTAGATTTTTGTGGTCCTTGCCTTTCATGATGGAAGGAAAAGCTGCTTGCTGAATTGAATCCAGAGCCTGGACTAACTGAAGAGTTGTGGAGGAGTTGTTGGAACTGCTGGAATAAAATCTCAATTTAGTTTGGGTGAAACTGTGATATGTTTTGCCTCCCTTACTCTCCAACTTCTTTCCCTAATAAACACTGTAACTGTGAGTCTGTGAGTTAACAATGAATAAAAGAACCTCTGGCTGTTGATGGGACTCTAAAGGCACCACGGGGCTGGGCGACAGGCTCTTTATCTGCTTTCTGCTCTGGGGTGGTGAGAAGCTAGGCTACTCTTACTTTCTCTGGCCCTTTCAGAGAGTCACTCATGGCCCTGGACCTCCATGTCCCATTTCCTCTATTTAGACAGTTGTGTGCTCATGGCTGTATTTATTCCTGAGATTATGAGACTTATGATTGTCTCTCACATCTTCCATAAAATACCAAGGCCTCTGATTGCCAGCACCATTCCCTATGCTTGGAATTCCTTTCCTCTTCTGTCTGTTAAGAATGACAGAAGTAAAACCTATGCCTTTGAATTGTGGTGTTGACAAAAAGTATTGAATATACCATGGACTGCTAGAAGAACACATTTATCTGGAAGGAAATGCAACCAGGATGTTCCTTAGAGGCAAAGATGGTGAAATTTCATCTCACTTACTTTGGACATATTTTCAGGAGGAGCCAGTCTTTAGAGACATAATGGTAGAAAAGATAGAGGGTCAAAGAAAGGGAGGAAGACCCTAATGGAGGAGGTCTGACACCATGGCTCCCACAAGGGTCTTGGGCATGTCAGAGATGGTGAGGATGTGCAGGATAGGTTCAGATCTGTTGTTCGTGGATCACTATGAGTCGTCGTCAACCTGACGGCACCTAAGAACAACAAAGGCCACCAGAGCTCTTTCTAGAACTATCATGCTGAATTTGGATTTGTAGCATCCTAAACTATAAGAGAATACATTTCTTTTTGTTAAAGCTTTCCACTTAAGGTATCTCTGTTATAACCAAGATAAATGCTAACCCTTTTCATGCTTAGAAGAAAGTCACAAACTCCAGGAAGGAAGTCCCTCTTCAGTTACCCAAAACACTTCTCTTCACTCATTCAACAAAATTAGAAAGGAAAGCCAAAGGAAATATATATCTAAGTCAAACAGAAGCAAGTCTGTAATTGAACTGCACATTAAGCAAATAAACTTGGCAAAGGATTCTGCCTTATATGAAGACAGGTACGATTTACACACTCAGCGGTTCTTAAGCTGAAAGAACTGAAGAAAGAAAAAAAATATTACAGCCTTGAGTCGCAATAGTGAATGTTTCTGTGGGCAAAATACTGAGTGATGCAGGAGAACCAAAAGAAGATTGAAGGATACAGAGTCACTAAAGCAACAAGCTCTGGTTGATGCTTAACCATTTCAGAAGGTAGCATTTGATCAAAAGCTGATCGTACTGAAGGAAGACATCCACTTAAGGCACTGGCAGAAAACAAAGCTCCAAGAATTAACAAAATACAAATTGAGGTATTCAACAGTGGGAGCCCTGGATGTACTCACTCATCTATGCCAAGAAACTCAGAAAAGAGTTACCTGGCTCCCCAGCAAGAAGGGATCTGTTTTGTACCCAGAGAGACAGAAAAGAGGCAGGAAAGAAGAGAGTGCATAAATCTATGAATAAATGTAACTCAGATTACGTGTAGTGTGATCCTTCAACCCCTCCTGTACCCCAGCCTAATCCTTCCCCTGGTTAATCACTAAGCATTTCAAAATTATTCAATAAACCATAGCATTAAAGAATCTTAATTTGTGATCTATAACCTCTGGGATAGCTGACCTGATAGTATATAACTGGAAGCTGCCTTTCACCAACGTAATTTCCCACATGGCAAAACTCATCAATATTTCTTATACCTTCATATGGACTGCTAATTGTCTGCCACCAAGGGCCAAATTGAAGTGACAACCAATTATTAATGGGGAAATATATATATATATATATATATATATAGTTACTTTTTCTGCTGGTAAAATGATCTCTAACTCAATTAAATTACAGATATTGATATGCCTCAATTTTCCACACAGAATAAGATAAGGACCATTT